AAATAAGATATTGGACAAATAAAAACTGTCCAACCTTCATATAATCATGGTCTTCAACCACTTCAATAAATGAATATAATAATTTTCTGGGATCTACTACAAAACTTTGGAGCATCAAGCTTTCACATTAACTATACACAAACGTAATCTGAGTAACAATAATTGAACTCAAAAAGGAACTGTGAAGGGCAAGGCATAAAGATCAACCTCAGGCAAGTATTGGGCATGAGGCCACAAAGTTGAACTGCCCCTACACAATACATTGCTGCTAGCTTGACATCTTTCCCCATCTTGATTCTTTCTCTGAAATAACCATTCTTGTTCACCAAGATCTGTCTGCTCACTTTGTACGAGTGGTGGGACCCAATTCTCAATCAGATCTTTGTAAAATGAATCAACTTTCCGAATCTTATTCACATAGGATGGAGCAATAGAAGCAATCCCAGAAGATGAACCACCTTCGTCTTTGATAGGTTGAGTAGTGAGAACTTGCGAAGATGCATCAATACCCACTGAAGTAGAACAGAACTCTTGACTCCGTCCAAGACCAATTTCAGAATCATGTTGACTAGTTGAATCTGTCCTTCCAGAAGTAGAGGTGAGCCTCTCTTTGGTAACCACATCATCAGATTCTTTTTGCTTTTGTGAGGTTAATCGAATCCTTATGATGTTCCCTATTTGATTATCATAACAATTTAGAATATGGTAAATGCATGCATTGAGCTCTAAAAACAAAATACAAAAACAAAAAGCATTGGCACAAACCATGTGCACGGATGCCATTCACAGGTGGCAACTGCTTCCTCCTTTTGCTGAAATGTCTAAAAGATTTATCAATTTTACATAATTTTATTTTTAGTGAGTAGAAATAATTTTTAAAAATTCAAAAATATTTGTTTGACATTTATTTTTGTCAAATTAGTTTATATTTTATCAAATTAACGATTTTACCCTTGAAAAATCTAATGAAATCTTTAATTGTCTTTATTTGGAACAAGATTCAAAATTTAGGGTCAAATGTGTCACAATTGAAAAGTCAGGGACCAAAGTGACACAAGTTCCAAACTATAGGGACTATTATTGTAATTCACCCTAAAATAAAAGTTAAATGAAAGTTGGCCAATTGGGATTTTCTTAATTGTTTAAAATTAAGAAAAAAAAAAAAATTAGTATGAGATATTGATCACAAGGTTTCTCACTAAAAATCTATTTTTACTTATATAAATGAAAGTATAAGACTCATTTTATGTAAGTGAAATAATTCATTTTTTTTTCCCGATGTGGGATTGTAAAATAAAATATAAATGGAAGCTAACCAATGAGAATTTTCTTAATTGTTTAAAATTAAGAAAATTTAATAATTTTAGAATGAGGGTTTGGAGCTCCTAGAAAACTTCTTTCTAAAAATCCTATTTTCCTTATATAATATATAGATATAAATATAGATAAATAGTGAAACAAAGTTTGTTTTTTCTTCTTTTCCCGATGTGAGATTAAAAAATAAATCATAAACTAATTAGAGTTTTAAATGGAAGTTAGTCAATGGAAACTTTTTTAATTGTTTAAAATTAATAAAATCAATATGAGAAATCGTGATTAAACTGGCAAATCGGTCAAATCCAAAATGGTTCAGCCAAATCGGTTAGGTCAAATGACCAACTAACTTACACAAAAATTAATTAATTTAAACTTTTAAATGATATTTTGATTTTAAAATTTAAACTGGCTTGAATTAAAGTATGCACAACACTACAATATTAAGGTTCACTTTATATAAGTAAAACAACCTACTTTTTCCTTCTTTTTTCGATGTAGGATTACAAAATAACAGTTTACAATTATTTAGACAAAAAATTTATTTCTAATTAAGCAATCTCAATCGTTCAATCTTTAATCAAATCATTATTTAGTTTATTTTGAATCAAACAAATCTAATCAATATATTTTAATAAATCTGCTAAAATATTTTGAATCAAACAAATCTAATCAATATATTTTAATAAATCTGCTAAAATAAAACTGTTAAAATCGTGGTTAAACCAATGAATCAATCAAATCCATTAGGTTAAAAGACCAACCAACTTACATAAAAATTAATTAATTAATTAAAACTTTTAAATTTTATTTAATTTTAAACTTTAAATTATGTTAAATTGAAAAATGTACAATACTACAATATTAAATAAGGGTATAATATTTACTTTATAAGAGTAAAACAATTCATTTTTTTCCTTCTTTTCCCGATGTGGGATTATGAAATAAATCATAGACTAATGAGCTAGCTTAATGGAGATTTTCTTAATTGTTTAAAATTAAGAAAATTAGTATGAGATATTGAAACTCTCACAATGCTCCTTACTGAAAACGGTTCAGCCTAATTAGTTAGGTCAAATAACCAACCAACTTATGTAACGCCTCAAAAATATTTCGACATGAACTACCCACATTCATAGACATTCGCTAAATAATAACAATAATCCTTCTATCTTTCCATATTTGATTAAGAGAGTTTAATGCAAAATCCCTACATGCGGTATACATTCAATGAGATAAAAGAACACCTGAATCTATAGCATGTGAAACATCTAGTTGCAAACAAGATAAATAGAGTGCCCTTACGGACTACAACTTCCAAGGCTTAAGCCTGGTTACACAAAAGTGGTCTCTTGGACCCAAACCAAAAATAGCCCTCGGCTTACAATTAATCACAACAAAATAAGAGTACGCTACTCTTCTCAAAATACTTCCACGCCTTCAATTCGGCGGGATCACCACATCTTTACCTGCACCAAAACCCATAGGCGTGAGCACATAGCCCAGTAGAGAATCCTTAACAAAGTATCTACATTTATGCAAGATTCACTATGTTTTATGTAAAGGCATATGTTATGCCATGCCACTTGAAGGAAATCTCATATACTGCTTTTCATGAAAATCACCATGCTTTCAGTCAACATTTATGCAACCTCATTAATTTCCACACTTCCAATTTTAAATCATAAGGGGGGCGGTAAATACATCACCAGTAATCCCTAGGCTGGTGTCTGCAAGTAGACTTTACGAGTGCTACCAAACTGTCATTTTTACCAGTATTAACCGGAAGGCTTGGCACATATCCGCGCAGTTTTCTAGTCTTTCACCAAGGACACTTAGGCCATCTTATCAAATACAACTACACCCCCTATCCGGACTTACCACGTATTTACCCCTTTTTCATTCTTATAGTTCTCATTATCATATAATCTTTCTCAATGCAAATGTTTTTCCAAAACTCATGTCAAGATCTATAAGGATGACAAAATTTACATGAGGAGATGATGCAATAAATGATATACCATAACTCTTCTTTCATTTCCTTTTTTCCAATGCCAATCACACACAATATTCACATGCACTACCAAAACTATCAATATGGCAATAACTTCTCATCATATGTAATTCTTGACATTCAACTCATATCAAGACTATAAGAAAATTTTCAATATCAACTTTCATGATTTCAATCCTCCAATCCATGATACTCAACAATTATCATATCACAAAAAAATATATGATTTCAATCCTCCAATCCATGATACTCAACAATTATCATATCACAAAAAAATATATTATTATGCTCTTAATAACAGTTTTGCAAAAAAGTCTTCTACTCTCTACATCAAGAGGATTATCAACTCCCCTTTTTCCTACTACATTGTGAAACCCACACTCACACACCCATTTAAACACAAAAAAAAGAAGAAGATGTTTACTCCATGGATTTCCATGTTTTCACAAAAAGCACCAATTTCTAGGTTTTCACAAAATTTAAACATTTTTCATCTTCTTTAAGAAGAAATCCCACAACACACTTCAATCTCAACACTTATGACCTAACATTTCACAAATCCTTTTTAAAAGAAGTAAGGTGAGTTCTTCTTCAACAAAATCACCAATCTCTTGAGCCCAAACCCTCATTTTCAAAATACATGGAGAAGCTCACCAAAAACCAACCAAACTTGCATAAACACACATATAACTCAAAGGAAAACCCTACCTCAGGCTCAATGGTGAAGATGAAATTAAACCCTAGCCCTTGAAAAGAAGAGAGAGCCTTGGATTTGCTTTCACCAAATGAAACCCTAGCTTTGATTCTTCAAGATCTTGAAGGAGATGGTGATGTTCTTGACCCAAGATGGGCAAAATCAAAGAGGTGTAGATGTTTGAGGGGTTTTCTAGAGAGAAGGAGCAGAAATATATGCTTTAGAGTGAGAGGGAGATGAGTATAATGAGAGATACATTCGGTTCAAAATGATACAAGAAACAGAGTTTCGGACTAACCAGTTGGCCGCTCGTGCGGCCCATTTTCTTTGCTCGTGCGCTCTAGACAGTAGCCAATTTTTTGGGTGTCAAGCTTGGCCGCTCGTGCGGCCCCTCCCACCGCTCGAGTGGCCCACTTCCACACGTGCGGCCCTGGCCTAGCAGCTCAAAGTTTCAACTTCATCCCCGGCACCCCGAACTCACCCGTGCACCCTCCGGGACAAACAAAATTCAACACCGGAAGAAAAAGAATTTGGAAACCATTCTCGGACACTCCAATTCAACAAGAATAAAAAGAGAACGAAGTGAAGGAAAGAGAGAATAAAGAAAAAAAAAGAAGGCCGGTCGTCATAACCTCCCCACCATAAGAAATTCGTCCCCGAAATTTGAATAAACCCACTAAACAAGAGTGTTCTATCAATAATAGTCAATTCAACAACATTAACAAATTACAACATTCATGTTTCACTAACATCTGGCATTTTCCTCATCATTTTCTCATCAAAATGCAATTGCTCAAGCTAGAATGAAATGAAACATCCATAATAAGGTATCATACTCTTTATCCTCATTCTCCAACATAATAATTTCTCATATTAAACGTTTGGAATAAAACATTCATGGCAAAATGTCTTTCTTTCACAACATCAAGGTTAGATCAACAACATATACAACAACCCACAATTAACAATCTAACTCCTCTCCCTTCATTACAAGGAAACATTACAAGTTAGAGTAAACAACTAAACATTTTTAAACAAATCTGGATATTTGTAGCGAACTTCTGCCTCCCTCTCCCAAGTCGCTTCTTCAATTCCATGGTGTCTCCACAACACCTTTACTAACGGTATGGTCTTGCCTCGTAACACTTATTCTCGGGTATCTAAAATTTGAACCGGTCTCTCCTCGTAGGAGGCATCCTCATCTACCTCCAAATCAACCCAATCTAACACGTGAGAAGGGTCGGGTTCGTACTTCCTAAGCATCGACACATGAAACACATTGTGAACCGCCAAAAGTTGTGGCGGTAAAGCTAACTGATATGCTACTTCCCCGATTCTCTCCAATATCTCGAAAGGCCCAATGAACCTCGGAGACAATTTCCTGCTCTTGCCAAATCTCATTAAACCCCGTCTAGGTGAGATCTTAAGGAAAACATGGTCACCTATTTCAAAGGATAGAGGTCGTCTCCTTTTGTCGGCGTAACTTTTCTGTCAGCTTTGAGCTGTAGCCAACCTCTTACGAATGAGAGCAACCTTCTCGGTTGTCTCCTTCACAATCTCTGGATCTAACAACGGTGTATCCCCTACCTCGGCCCAACAAACCGGTGACCTACAAGGTCGGCCATACAAGGCCTCAAACGGTGCCATCTCGATGCTAGCCTGATAACTATTGTTGTAGGCGAACTCAATCAAGGGTAAGTGCCTCTCCCAAGACCCCTTGAAATCTAGGACACAAGCTCTAAGCATATCCTCCAAAATTTGAATGGTACACTCCGACTGCCAATCGGT